AAATAGCTAAACTGGACCACAAAGCTAGAAACACCAAATTGATTGGTTAAAGTAGCTAAATGTTAGCTAGAAGCTAAAAGTAGTGAAACTGGACCACAAAGCAAGATGAACCAAATTGATTGGTAAAAGTAGCTAAATGTTAGCTAGAAGCTAAAAGCAGCATAACAGTTGCTCAAAACTATAAGTAACAAATTGATTGGTAAAAGTACGAAAAGGCTAGCTACTTTTAGCTACTGTGCTACTTTTCGTAGTAACTTAAAGTAGCAAAACGCTACTGAAAAGATGCAGAACTGTAGATAAAAGCAGTAGTAGCAAAAGGCTAGGTAAAAGCTAAAAGTAGCAGAGTATTAGCTCAAAGCTTAAAGTTTCTAAAAGCCTTGCTAGGAACCAAAAGTAATAAAAGGTTAGCTAACCATAGTAGCGTGAAAAGACAGCCGTCAGCTGGTAGCTGCAGCAAATTAAAAACAAAAAACAAGTTTGAGATCTCGATGAATTCTATGAAGAAAATGTTTGTAAATAAAGTTAGATATTTTGAAAAGAAAAGAAACACTACAAACACCAAAGGTCCTGGCACCCATCTCCTGAATGAGCCGAACACTTTGGAGCATGCAGAGCACAAAGTCTGCAGAAGTAATTAGATTACAAATAAGAGCTGGAAAATTAAAAACATGCTGACTCAGCTTCAGAGCATTGTCAGCAACATGTGTTGAAACAGTTAAGCTGCAGCTTTCCCTGTTTTTTAACACTCCAGCTGCTTTGTGTTAATTTGTGTAACTTTTTGTTTGTAAATGAAATAATTAAATTCTGCAGATGTTTGCAGAAGAGTTCCAGTTTGTCTCGCGTGCGTCGCAGCTTTCAGCCAATATTGACTCAAGTGAACAGGAAAACTTTGTTTTGTGCTCAGATTGTGTTTCACTCCCTGATCAGCTGAGGTTCAGCCCTTCAGGGCCACAGCTGAAGAAGTTCAGCTAGAACTGTTCCAAAAGACAAAAAGGTTGGTTGGGTTTGCGTTGCGTCAGCTGCACTCAGACACTGTTTACTTCCATGGTCTTGTTGTGCAACAGGCCTTTATCTGTTGGTTGTTTTGTTTTTTTTTAAGTTGTGTGCTGCTCGATGATCCATCCCAGTCTGCAAATATTGACAGCCAGTCCCGACAGAAACGTCCCACTGTGTCGCTGCAGCAAAGACCCAAACCCTCCTGAACACGAGCTGCAGGGCACAGAGTCATTATGGGTCATTTCCCCGTCGCTTGTTCTCAGATCGTTTGTTTTTTCCTCCCTCGCTGACAAAAAGCGGCGTTTGGGAAGTGCAGCGCCTCCTTGTTACTTCCGGAGACCCTGAGCGGCTCCGTCCTGCAGCCGGTCCCTCTGTCCCGTGATGTCATTGGTGGGGACAAAAGGAAAAGTGTGTCCAACGGGAAAACTGCCCAGAACAATACTGTGAATGCAACAAAACCAAACACTCAGGGAGTAGACGTTTTTAACCCAACGTGCTGGTGACGGTTTGAGTTTCACCAGTTAAGATTTCTTTTTTTTTTTTTTTACTTTTTGTACTTTTATTTTTACACTTTGACACAACTAGCTCTTTCCTGTAAGCGGCGTTACTGGATTCAAAAGCAATCGACTCCTCGAGTCTCACGAGAAGTTTCAAAACCGTTAACTTTTTCTGAGAACGTCGAGTAAATGAAGACCCAGTCCTCCGAAGGAACGCACACCGCGCCAGAGTTTAAACTGGTCGTCTCATGTGGAGAAATGGAGCCGTAGCCGTTTTGGTCCAACCTTGAAAACAATGTTATGCTCCATCTCGTGCGACATAACGAGATGTCGCGCCCAGAGTATGAATGACTCTCGGCTACTACCACATCAAAGGTTAGGTCAGTATCTGTAAAACTGAGTGGTTTGTGGTGGCTAATGTTGTTAGCTGTGTCAACTGTGGGATGAAATAAATATCCTTTCATCGTCTACTTAAATAAAGGAGCTCACACGACGACACGAGATTTTTCAACCCAGTTTACTTTCAAGGGCAGACATTGACGAGAAGTTTTTTACAGATGTGCAAAAGCTACAAGCTTTGAGCCTCGTCAGTTTAGAGTCTGCACCGGACAGTGAGCAGGAAGTGTTTTCTAATACACGCTTATCGGACAGAGGTGAGGTCAAGACGACCTCGGCTTTCCAGCTTACAGACTCGGAGAAGACCAAGTGTTTTTCATTCAACCTTTATTCATACAGGCTAGTCTCACTGAGCCACAAGGACTCATTTACAAGAGGGACCTGTTCCAGACAGA